CAGTTATCAGTGATCTCTACTCATTTCCCTGATGACCTTTTTTCCAGTCCTTTGACCTCTCTGCAGCTTTTGAAACTGTCAGCCATTCTTTTATTTTATATACTCTTTCCCTGACTTCCCTGACCCTACTTTCTCCTTGTTTTCCTACCTGTCTGACTGCTCCTCATTCTCCCTTGCTGAGTCATTATCCATTTCTTGTCCCCTAACTGGACATGTTGGCAGCTAGGTGGTGTAGTGGATCGAGTGAAGTCAAGGAGACTCATTTTCCTGAGTTCAAATCTGACCTCGGACACTTACTAGCTGTGTGACCTTGGGCAAGTCATTAACTCTGTTTGCCTCAGTTTCCTCATCTGTAAAATTTGATAGAGAAGGAGATGGAAGACCATGCCAGTATCTCTTTCAAGAAAACCCCAAGTAGGGTTGTGAAGTCCGATGGGACTGAAATGACTGAACAACAACAAGAATTGTTGATGTTACCCGTGGCTCTTTCCTGGACCCTCCTCTCTTTATACCCTCTCCCATGCTGGTTTCATCAACTCCCATGGTCTCAGTCATCATTTCTATGCAGCCCTGAGAATGCATTCTCCTAACTCCAGTCCTGAATCACAAGCTGCCTACTGAACATTTTTCCCTGTGGGAGATATTCTATCGGGAACTCAGTTTTAATGTTATTATCTTCCCCTTCAATCCTGGCTTACTTCTAAACTTCCCTATTTCTATTGAGGGCACCACCTTCTTTCTGTTACCCGGGTTTGAAACCTTGGGATCATCACTGAATCTTCCTTCTCCCTCATCTAACCAGTTGCCAGTTCTTGTCACTTCTTCTCTATGGGTCCCTTTCTCTCCATCCTTATGGCTACCATCTCCGTCCAGGTTCCTGTCACTCTTACCCAAACCATGACAATGGCCTCCTTGCTTCTGGCTTCTCTCCTCCTCTAACTTTTCTCTTCTTCCACAGAGCTGCCAAATCTTAAAGCACAGCTCTGACCCTATCTCTCTCCTTCTTTACAACATCTTCTGTGGTCTCCTTTAAGATAAAATATAAACTCCTCAACGTGATGCTTAAAACCTTTTACATCCTGGCTCTTTCTACTTCCCCAGACATTTTACACTACTTCCCTTCAGCAAACCAGTTCCCAACTTAGCATTCCATCTCCTACTGCAAAGGTTGTTCCCTTGCTTGGAGTACTCTCGTCTATTCGCAGCTAGGTGGTGCAGTGGGTAGTGTACTGGGACTGGAGTCAGGAAGATTTGAGTTCACATCTGGCCTCACTAGCTTTGTGATCCTGGGCAAGTCATTTAACCTCTGTTTGCCTTAATGTCCTCAACTGTAAAATGGGGATAATAATAACCCATTCTGCGAGGTTGTGAAGATCAAATGAGATAATATTTGTAAAAGTGCTTAGCATAATGCTTGGCACATTATAGGCACTATGGAAATGCCTACTCCCTTCCCCTTCCTTCCCTATTGGATCAATCAACAAGCATTTATTGAGTGCCTACTATGTATTCAAGTACCTATAACGTATGAGGCACTCTGCTAGGTATAAGGGCACAAATGGAAAAAAAAAGAGAGAGAGAGGAGAGAATTCCTGCCCTCAAGGAGCTTACTACATTTAAAATCCATTGCTTCTTTCCAGGCTCCAGCTCCGGTGCAATTTCCCCTGCCAATCACCCTCTGACTCATCATTAGCCTCTTTCTCCATGTGGTATTACCCAACAGAACATAAGCTCCTTAAAGGCAAAATTTTAGTCTTTCTGTCCCTTGTACTGTTTTCAAAATAATAAGGAATGAATAAATATTTTTTAAATATTGAATTGAACAGGACCTGTTCTTCAGCCTCTCATAGTGTCCTACCCTTTGTCCCTAACAACTTTCTTGTTAGTTTCTCCCACATTTCCCCCTCATGCTGGTTTTATGAAATCAAAATCTAATCTCCCTTATGTCATTCAAGTAATATTTATTGAACACCTATTGCCTGCTCAGCACTGAGCTATATTCAGTAGATGGCAAAAATAATATAAGTACCTTATGGACTGATTTGCAGGACTAGATTTGTATGTGAAGAAATCAGAAAAAAATACTTCATTTGTATTGATTTGTGATTAAGGGGTCATAGATTTTGGAGCTAAAAAGGACTTTAGAGATAATCTAGTCTAGCCAATTCTTTTTTTTTTAATAGTATTTACAAAGGGGTATTTACTTTAAAGATATAGCAAGAACAGAAGTACAAAACACTTCCCTCCAGCACAGTGGGGGCAGGCTCTCCCCCTATACCACCTCAGTCTCTGGGGAGAGTGGGCTCCAACTTAATGAAGTTTCTACTTAGCACTGGCCCGAATGAGTTCACATCCAAATGTGACAGGTATGAGCTGAATGAGTCTAGCATCTACATCTGTTTTCCTCTACAGATGGGGAAACTGAAGCCCAGGGAGATGAAGTGATTGGCCAAAGAGGCCACAGAGCTGGTAGCAGAACCAGCGTTCATATCAAAGTCCCTTGACTCCAAAGTGTTGGGTCCTTCGCTCTCTCTCTCTCTCACACACAAGTATATATAAATATACACATATACAAACACACACATACATAGTGCAAGAGCAATGGAGTCAGCAGACTTGGGTTTGAAACCTGGCTCTAACATTTCCTCATCCAAATCCACATCTCACAGAGTTGTGAAAGAAGTGCTTTGTGAACCTCAAAATGCTGGAGTGATTGTAGTTGTGATGTGAACTGATAATCCCTCAGTGCTCTTGAATTCTGTGCTATCCTCCTCCATGACTTCCCATAAATAAATACTCCACAGAGGATCCATTCAATGTGCTGTATGGGTGAAGGCAGATCTTTTTGTATCTTCAAGATACTGATGGGGCACTGGGAATTGACATCTGTTAATTTTCATTCTCACAACATGACTCACCTCCTTTTCCAGTCCTGATATTCCCACCATGTCTTTCACACCACTTCTCATGTTCAAGTAATATGCTACATGTTCAGTCAATTAATAAACATTTAAATGCCTGCTATATGTGCTAGACACTGTGTTGGGTGCTGGGAATTCAATACATGAGCGAGACAGTGCCTTCCATAAGAAGCTTACATTCTACCAATAAATACAGCATATATTCAAAATAAGTGCACAGTGAATTGGAGGGCACTAACTATTCTAGGAGTCAGGAAGAAAACAAGCATCTAAGTGCCTATTATATGTTAGGCACTATGCTAAGTGCTTCACACAATATATCATTTGATGCTTACAACATCCCTGGCAGGTGGGCACAATTATGAGCCCTATTTGATAGTTCAAGAAGCTGAGGCAGACAGGAGCTATAAATGACTTGCCCAGGGTCATGCAGCTAGTAAGTTTCTGAGGCTTGGTTTGAACTTGGATTTTCCCGACACTAAGTCCAATGCTCTATCCACTCTACCATCTTGGGAAAAGTCTCTGTCTCTTGAAAGAGGTGGCCTTGAGCTGAAAACTAGAAAGGGTCAAGGAATTCCAAGGAGTTAGAATGAGGAGGGAGTGAACATTCCAGGTATGGGGGACAATTTGTGAAAGGCACAGAGATAGGTGGAATGTCATGTCTGGGGAACAGTAAATATGCCAGTTTGGCTGAAAGACAGCATACAATGAGCCTAGAAAGAGAAAAGGAAGCTGGATTATGAAGGTCTTTACAAGTCTTAAATGCCAAACAGGGGAATTTGTTTTTTAACTTAGAGGCAATAGGGAATCATGGATGTTTCTTAAACAGAGGGGTAACATGGTCAGACCTATGCTTTTTAGTAGTATTACTTTTCAGCTGAGTGCAGGACAGACTGGAGAGGGAAGAAAGAGACCAAAGAGTCTAGGTGAGAGGTGATGAGGGCTCTGACTAGGGGTTAGAGAGAGTCAGCAGAGAATGACTGAAGGCTGTAAACTGGGGGAGATGGGAAGAATGGTGGTGCCCTTGACAGAAACAGGGAAGTTAGGAGGAGAAATGGGCTTAGGAGAAAAGTATTGAGTTCTCTTTTGGACATGTTGAATTTGAGACATCAATCAGACAATTGGAGGTGATGAATTGCAGCTTAGGAGAGAGATCATGGCTATGTAGCATCAAGAGTCATGCACAGAGATGATAATTGAATTCATGGGAGCTGATGAAGTCACTGGGAATTTAGAGAGGACAGTGCCCAGTTCTACTTATGTCCATCATGTATGTTTTGCCCTCTGGGCTGGTTGTCCTGTTGCTTTTATTCTCTTGTGATTGTGGTGTGCCATGAGTCATAGTTGTACAGCACTACAAAGCTGGAAAGGACCTTGGAAATGAGTCCATTTTTCCAGAAGAGCCTCAAAGGAGTGAAGAGACTAGCTAATAAGCTAATAACGGGCAGAGCTAGGGCTTCAACCCAAGTCTCTTGTCATTAAATCCAGTGCATGCATTGAATAACAATATAGGCAGTAAATATAAAGTGATTACTTGAATATAATCCAATATGGTATAGATGTGGATAAATCCAGGTGTTGAAATGTATGTCACTGCATCCCTTTTCCTGATCTCCCTTAGGATTACCTACTAATTAACCTCTTTGCTTTTGGTTTCTTCTCAGCTCCCGGGGGAAGACAGGCAGAACCTTTGGTCAGTGTCGGCACTTAAAGGACCCCAGCCAATATATCCACCTTTTAGGTCCCAGTTCTCTGAGTTAGCTCTGAGAGAGAGAGAGAGAGAGAGAGAGAGAGAGAGAGAGAGAGAGAGAGATTCAGAGAGACAGAGAGAGCAGGCTCTATAGTACACTGCCATTGGAATAAAAGGTCCTGGCTCTGAAGCCTACTTTGTCTCTTTCCACTTCCACCCCATCTTAGAGATTTCTCTGAGTCTCAATTTCTTATTTGTCACCTGTCGGGATTGGAGTAGATGATCTCCAAGGCCCCTCTTCTTTCTATGAGGAGTGTGGGCCTTGGGAGGCAGGGTGCAAGGATCATCCTTGCACCTTCCCAACCCAGCTGCTTCTCTGCCCCCTCCAGGGCTGTGGGCAGTCCCCTGGTCATGGACCCCACCAGCATCTGCCGGAAGGCTCGACGGCTAGCAGGACGGCAGGCAGAGCTGTGTCAAGCTGAGCCTGAGCTGGTGGCAGAGCTGGCACGGGGTGCCCGGCTAGGTGTAAGGGAGTGCCAGTTCCAGTTCCGATTCCGACGCTGGAACTGCTCCAGCCACAGCAAGGCCTTTGGGAGAATCCTGCAGCAGGGTCAGTGGGAGTCCTGGTCCTGGGGAGGGGGTGGAGAAAAAGGAAGGGGAAGGGGAGGGAGCTCTCTCTCCCCAGGGGCTAAGATTGACAAAGCTTGAGGGTTTAATGCCTGGGGAGGAAAGAAAAGGACCCGACTTGAACCCCATCTCCCAGTTTAATTACAGTGGCTTTAGTTTCCTGACCTAGTGGGCCCAGGCTACTGAACCCCTCTCATCCTTCCCTGGTCCCCTGACTCCAGCCCTTGGAGTATTGTCTTCTTAACTACCCTTCCCCTTACTCTCACCCTCCCTGTCTTGGCTGTTCCTCAGATATCCGGGAGACAGCCTTCGTCTTCGCCATCACAGCAGCTGGGGCCAGCCATGCAGTGACCCAGGCCTGCTCTATGGGAGAGCTGCTGCAGTGTGGCTGCCAAGCTCCTCGTGGACGGACCCCACCCCGGCCCCCTGGACTCCCCAACCTCACTGGGACTCCGGGGCCTCCAGGGCCTGGGAGCTCCTTGGATGGCAATGCAGCCTGGGAGTGGGGGGGCTGTGGAGACGACGTGGACTTCGGAGATGAGAAATCCAGGCTCTTCATGGATGCTCGGCACAAGCGGGGAAGGGGTGATATCCGGGCACTGGTGCAGCTACACAACAATGAGGCTGGACGGCTGGTGAGGCTCCCAGGAGGGACTGGGATAGGGCAAGGGGGAGGAGGAGGAGGAGGAAGGTTGGGGAATGCCAGGAAACAAAGGGTGGGGACTGGGGCAGGGTGTGGGAAATGAACTTGGAGAAGCCAGGCTGAGTGTGGAAGGGATGATAGGACTGGACTAAAAAAGGAGGCTGTGGATTAGGAGTGGGAACTGGGAGGAGAAGGGAAGGATGAGGGATAATGGGTAGGACCTTGGGGCTGGGTTGAGCCATCTGGGGAGTGACAAAGTGCTGTGATGTTCAGCAATGAGTTTAATCCTAGTCAAGCTAAGCCTACCTTGACAGAGGCAGTCAACTAGTCAGTCAGTCAACAAGCATTTAATTAAATACCTGCTGTGTACCGGTCACTGTGAGAATCATTGGAGATACCAAGAAAGGCAGAACTCCACCTGCACCCCTCAGACCTGAGATGGTCCCCATTTTCAAAGAGCTTGAATTCTAATGGGGGAGATAACATGGAAAGAACTAGAGATATACAAGATATCTATGTAATAGAGGTTGGAGGGACTGAGAAAAGCCTCCCATGGAAGGTGAGTTTTGAGCTGAATCTTGAGGGAAGCCAGGATGCAGGGTATAGTAAAAATAACACCCAATCCAGAGTCAGAGGGCACGGCTTTGAATTTTGAATCAACTGCTTATTACTCATGAGACCTCAGGCAAGTCACCTAAACTCTAGTCACCTAAACCTATCTTTGCCATCTGTAGAATGAAATAGCTGGGCTATTTGACCTCAAAGGTCCCTTCTAGCTGTATTGTCTAATCCAGCCAATGTTAACTACACTTAACCAGCTTCCCCTACACCCCCCCAGGCCTGGCCCTCCACTCTAATATTATACTGACTTTTTCCCAAGGCAAACCCACCTTGTCCTCCCTAGTTTCTCTCTTCCCCAGGACATTTGTCCTATTCCTCATCTCCCATAATGGGAACACTAAGGGACTATTTATCATTCAATCAGAGAGAAATGAAATATTATTGCTTTCTGAGGAACTTAGGATGGGTGGAAGGGAGATGAAGTAAATAGGAAAACAAGAGTACCAGGCCCCAGGATTTGTCTGCTAGAATTCCTCTGGGATCATCTGACCTTAGCTAATCTACACTCTCACTTCATGTGGTTGCCCTTCTTCCCACTTCCCCCCAGTCTCCCATCACTCATCACCCCCAGTCAAATTCACAACCTTTAAGCCTTGGATATAACTCCCACCTTAGGGGAACTGGAAGTAAGAACTCTTGGGTGCCCATTTCAGAATGCCCTGGAACTTTCCCCTGCACACTCATCTTACATTCCCATTTGTGACAGCTGGGCCTCTTGTGGTCCTGTGCAGGGGATGGAGGGGAAGGGGGAGAAACTAGAGGGTGGTGTTGGGACAGGCCCACATATTTGTTTGGAAGGGTGAGCCGCCCAGCCAGCCTTTCTCCAGCTTAGAGTCTATGATCAGTCTCTGCCTGGGGACATGAGGGACTGGAATGAAAGAGTAAAAAAGGGAGGAGGGGGTGGGGGTGATTGACATATTATCACCTCCCAGTCCACTCCCAACTCTAACATCTCTTAGATACAATCTCATCCCCCTCTTGGTTTTTTATTCCCGCTTTATCCCACCAACTCCCATGGCCCCCACACCTCCCCAACACTCAACTTCTGCGTTCCTGTCTCATTTCATCATTGGCTCATGTCTCTTTCCTGTTCCTTCCTTTTTCTTGTTTGTCTTTATCTACCTACCCCCTCATCTCTTTTCCTTTCCTTTCTCTTTTCATCCTTTCATGTCTTCTTCCTCATCCTCTTTTTACCCACTACTCTCTTTATTCCCCATTCTCGTTTTTCCCCCAATCCTCTCTTCTTAAACTCTTTCCCCCTTTTTCCCTACCTCCTTTTCTTCTGTCTCCTTTTCCTTCATGTTTCTCCATCTTACTTCTTCTCCCTTTTCCACACAACCTCTCTGTCCTTATTTCTTCATGTCAAAATGTATCTCTGTTTTCTGTGGTTCCCCTTTCCCTGTCTTTCTCTTCACTGGTTTTCACTCCATCTTCCTCATTGTGTCCCCAACTTTCTTTTTATTTTATTCCCCCTACCCCCTTTTGATATCTTTTCCTCTTCCTGCATATACCCCTTGGTGTTTCTTCTCCTTTTTTTCCTCTCTCATTTTTCCCATCCCCCAATGTCTGCCGTTACTGACTACCTCATCCTCCATGTCCCCTGGATGTTTCCCCCTGCTTTTCTCTCACCTCCGATATCCCTATGGTTATCTCCTTTCATCACCCTGGCTGCTCCCCTTCCTCATATTGCCCTACTTCCCATGGCTTCCTCTGGTTGTCTCCCCCATGGACCTCTTGACTGTCCCTCTTCCCTTCCCTCTCACCTCACCTACCCCCGTGCCTCCCTCTCCTCTTTCTCTCATCTCTCATGTCCCACTGGCTGTTCCCCCTCCCATGTCCCCTTGGGCTTTCTCGCCTTCCTCATGTCCTGACTCTGGACCTCCTCACCTCCTTCATGTCCTCACTCTGTCCCTTCCCTGCCCCATTCCCCCATGTCCTCCTCGGCTGTGTTCCCCTCTCCTCCCCCTTCCTCCCCTGCAGGCGGTGCGGAGTCACACGCGCACAGAATGTAAGTGCCACGGCCTGTCGGGCTCCTGCGCTCTTCGCACCTGCTGGCAGAAGCTGCCCCCGTTCCGGGAGGTGGGAGCCCGGCTGCTGGAGCGCTTCCACGGCGCCTCCCGGGTCATGGGGACCAACGACGGCAAGGCCTTACTACCGGCTGGCCACACCCTCAAGCCCCCGGACCGCGCCGACTTGCTCTACGCCGCAGACTCGCCCGACTTCTGCTCGGCCAACCGGCGGACGGGCTCCCCGGGCACTCGGGGCCGCGCCTGCAACAGTAGCGCCCTGGACCTGAGCGGCTGCGACCTGCTGTGCTGCGGCCGGGGACACCGTCAGGAGAGCGTGCAGCTTGAGGAGAACTGTTTCTGCCGCTTCCACTGGTGCTGCGTGGTGCAGTGTCACCGCTGTCGCGTGCGCAAGGAACTCAGCCTCTGCCTTTGACCCGGACCTGCCCTTGCCCCGCGCCCCTGAACCTCAGGGGGCTAAGCCTGCGTCTCGGGGCCGCCGGCGAGAGACGGCTAGACGGTGGCAGAGAACGTGGCCTTGGCCTGGCTCCAGCTAAGGGAGTACCCGAGAACGTGGGCGAAGGATGCCTTCCCGGATCATCATGGCCTGTTATTCCAGGAGCAGAGACCAATACATGCGGGGAAGGGAACTCTCGAGAGACATCTAGCCACCTGGGTGCCAAGGAGAGTGGGTGGTGCTGTGGATTCCCTGCTCGATTCTGACTCTTCCTTCAACATTTCCAGATAAAGATGGAGATTTGGAATGGGGATCAGGATACTCTTAAAGCACTGCCTGGGGAATGGGAGGAAGTGAGAAAAGCCAAGGGGAACAACGCTGGAGGATGGGGGAGGGACCCTAATGACAGGGTTGGGGAGGGCCCCAGGAGGTGTCAAGGGGGTGATTTTTGGTACTAATAAAGTTATTTAAAGCAAATAGACTCTGTTGGGGATTTGGGGACAGAGGCTGTAGCCAGTCTCTCCAGACCCAAATTCAGGGAAGGGACACTTAGCATAATGCTGTAGGGCTGGGAAAGGGGAAGGAGGAAAAAGAGGATTGTAATTTGTAATGAAACCCTTGAAGGTTACCATCTTCTGTGCTCCAGAGGGTTCTCTCCTTAGTGAGCTGGACGGACCCTCCCAGAACTCACCTAATCCAACTCCCCCATTTTACACATGAGGGCTCTGGACCCAAATAAGTGAAATAATTTGCCCAAATCTGGGGCAGAGCTGGGATTTGAATCAGATTTTTGACTTCAAATTCATGCTGCCTTCCTTGCCCCTTTTCTGGCAGCCACTAGGTCTGAAGGTTCTTAAAGTGGCATTTTATTCCTCATTTCTGGCATGGTAGGTGTCCCTTTTCCACTTTACTGTTAATCTAGCACAGTGACTGAAGGCGTGAGGAGCAATCCATAACTTGACTTTATTATAACAGGGTTAGAGAGTTTATTGAAAAAAAGGAATATGTAGTATCTTACAGCTTTAAAAAAAAAAGGCCAGTATTTGCCTGGCTAGTCCAACCCTTACATTCTATAGATGCGGAAAGTGAGTCCTAGGGAGGTGAAATGAGTTAAATTCCCAAGTTCCCTTAAATTCCTGGCTCTTACCAGCAGATCTTTTGGTCTTAGGTTGCCATTTGGACCTAGGATTTTATCAGTGTAGGGGATTCCCAATGAGGACCATCTGAAAACACAGTAGCAGCACTTCAGTAACTTTACAGTCTCGTAGAGTTGCCAGGACTTGAACCCAGATCTTCCTGGGTCTTAAGTTGTTCAATACATTTGACTTAATACTTATTAAGTACCTACTACACTAGGCACTGCAGATACGAAGATGAAAGGTGACATAATTCCTACCCTCACGTTTACAGTCCAACGTGGGAGGAAGAAGTAATATATACAAATGAATATGCTAGAAGGTAGCATGTGAGAAAGGCAAAGGGTGATGCTACTTCTATATCGTTGGCAGCAGGAGCAGCAAAGACTTCCCACAACCAACCTTTTGTACCCTAGTTAGAAATGGAGGACTGGGCTTTGTGGATCATGGTCTCACCCATTGCGGTATTTCCCATGTTCTTATGGTTCCTCCCTCCCATCAGCCATAAAACCTAAGCCACAAGGAAGAAACCTAGTAAGTAGGGATGGAGTTATTCTTATTCTTTTTCTTGGTTTTTGGTTGTTCTAGATTGTATTTAATTCAATTCAACCAAACTTTCATAGCCCTGCTCCTCCTTCCTTCTTATGGAATCTGAGGTACCCGTTAACCCCCCCCCCAGATTTCATGAATATGACAGCATCTCTCTTGACACAGAAATTGTTACCTTTACCTGCCATTTGAATATATTTAAAATACAGACGGAAAATAAAGCATTTTTATTCACAATGAAGTGAGAGAGGAAAGGATATTTTATCACAACACTGACTTTTTGCATTCATGCTCTTTTCATTCTCTCAGTGCTGTTCAATAGTCCCAGAAGCGAATTCATTAAAAGGCAATGTGGAGTTGGTAGAAAAGAGGAGAATGGTTTACCAGAAATCAGGCCCTTGGACTCTGATGGCTAGTCCCTTCCTCTTATGACAGTAAACATGAAAAGAATGGAGAAGAGCCTACCACTGGGGGATGGTATTCAGGATTTCTGACTTTGATCATGGGATCTAACAATTTGTGTGGGAGAGAGAAATTACAGCATAGTGGTAAAAGCACTGGACTTGGAGTCAGGAAAACCTGAGTTCAAATTCTTCTGACATTCTCATTAGCTGTGTGACTGCAAGTTTCTGGGCCAGTTTGCTTATCTGTAAAATGAAGGACTTGATGACTTCTAAGGTTTAAATCTTCCTTCCAGCTTTAAATCTATGGCTCTATGATCCTACGATCTAAAGATTTTAGTGAACTCAATGGATGAAGTGGCAGGCCCTTAGAGTCATGTGATTTTAGATTACATTAAGATGGTGGCCATAGGGTCCAGAATGGGAGAGGTGAGAGTCCTGCAGTACTCTCACCCTGGTCAGACCAAGTATTCTGTTCTGGCTGCTACATCTGAGGAGTGACATTAACAAAATAGAATATGTCCTCAGTATGGCAGCCTGGATGTTGAGGAAAATGGAGACTATTCAGAAGCAACTGATGGAACTGGCAATAACTTAGAGGTGGGATGAGTGTAGGGAGACTGTCTTCAAGTATTCGAAAGGCTGTTAAGCTAAAGGAAGATTAGACTTGTCTTTCATGGCTCCACAGAGAACCAGGAGCAAATGTAGCCAGTTGTACAGAGGTCAGTTTCTCTACTGAATGGAAAATTTCCTAACAATTACAACCATCCATAAGTGGAATTGGCTTTCTTGGGAAGTAGTGGGTTTGCTTCAGTGGAGATCTTCAAGTAGACACCACCACCTGTCAGGGTTGTTGCAGATAATATTAATATATCTTCTGGTTCAGGTTGGACGAGATGACCTCTAGTGGTCTATCCAGATATGAGTTCTGGGATTTTGATTAAAGCTATCCTTTCATTTATGTTTACAGATGAGGAAACTGAGGGTCAGAGAGGGGAATTGGATGCTTCAGTTACACAGTTGATAAGTTGCTGAGCTGGATTTGAACCCAGATCTTTTGACTCTAAATTTAGTGCTCTTTCTACTACATACAAAATACTACCACTTCTCAAATGCACACCATTTCCAAAACAGAATCAGATCTGAAGGATCAAGTACTCAGTCTTTGCTGGGCATCAGCTCCACACTAGCCAGTACTCCCCAGGATCTTAGTGGGCCCCAGACTCAAAGGAGTAAGAGGGGTGTGTGTGTGTGTGTGTGTGTGTTCATGTGTGGAGGGGAGAAAGAAATCAGAGGAGTTAGGATTGTGTGTGTTGGGCTTGAGATGTATATATCATCTTACTGAAGTCAGGAGAAAGGAAGAAAGAAATTTTAGATACGGAGTTCCAGAAACCTTCCTGTTGGGACTCTGAAATGGCTATTAGGATAGACTGATCTACTAACTCAAGACTTTTTAATAAGGCAAGGCTCCTCTACCTAAGCTTTGGGCCAGAGTTTTGTGGGGACACTATTTCTGTTCCCCATGGAAGAGTAGGATTCTGCCCCCTCACTCCAGATGTTTAGGTCTGAATTAGCCCTAATTCCCTAAGGAAACATTTGGCCTTGGGGAAAGGTCAGGAGAAGGGCCAAGGAGGGGGTAGAATCTAGACATCCCTCCCTTGAGGGGTTCTGCTACCTCTTTCCTCCACCCCAACATGATGGCAATCATTCCTAGATGGAAGAGGCCACTAGCAACCTGGCTGTAGAAGAGAAACTAGCAAATTATTTCCCCCCAGTGACTCATTTCCTTAACCTATTTCCTGCACCTCCGTTTAGTGTCACCAGAGGGAGCCCTGACCCAGGTTTCCCTACTGCTAGGGCCTGATTCTAGATCTATCGTCTGAAGAGAGGAGAGGGGAGCTGATGCAGTCTCTCTCAGCCTCTTCAGTCTCCATTCTGTCTGGTACTGCTGGGTCACCTCAGCATTGGGAGTAGGAACCAGAGAACCTCTTGGGATTCTCTACTGTCTGTCCCTGAGAGTCCTAACCTCTTCAAGATCCTGCCTTCCCTATTCTAAAGAAAGAAACTGAGGCAAGGCAAGAGTTGTGGGCCACCTTATTAATATAGAAGGGAACCCGAGAGTCTCAGGCTAGAGTCTTGGCTCCTATACCATATTTCCACTATTTAGAGGAAGGGAGAGGGAAGATCAGGGAGCTGGAGCCCAAGAAGAAGTAAGAGCTTTGCTATTATCCCCTCTCTCTCCGAGACCACTACCCAAACTCTTATCCTGACCATTTTCTAATCCCTTAAATGTAAGGATGTAAGAGACCCTGGGTAACTTTCCCACTGCTATCTGGGCAAAGGAAGGAACTAGATCTCAGATCAGCCCCTCTATTCTACCTCCCAGTTCTTCCCACCTCCCTGCCCTCCCCCCCTCAAGAGTCTGATGTATATTCCCAGTCCCCACTGACTGGGGTGGGGGGTGAGGGAGGTGAAGGGGGTTGAAAAGAACAGAGCAGCCCCAGATGTGTCTGACCACATCATGAACAGCAGAGAATGCAAGCAGGCGGGGGTGGGGAGGCCAAGGCTCAGGGCCAAGGACATGAATGAAACTGAGGGCTTAGGGGGTAGTTTAGGGAAGCCGGAAGGTTTTGGGCTCAAGGATACCCCTACTTCCCCTTTTCTTGTATCTTTTAAGAAGCTTCTGCAGGAGGCTATTTGGAAGCTAAAGTAACCATCTGCCAGGATAAAAATGAAGTTGCCTCCTTCCCAAAGCCATTGATTACTCAGAGTCTAGAGGGACAGGGCAAATGGAACTGCTTCCCACTCTTATCTCCTAGACCCAAGCACGATGATACAATCTGTGCTTTGGGATGGGCTGTAGACTGGGAGAGTATGGGTAGGGTCCTGCTTTTTCCCACCTGTTTCCTCTTCCCCTTTAGTCTTCCCCAACTTCTCTGCTTTGCCCCAGAGTACCCCTGCATGCAGCACCCCTCTTCCCATTGAGCACAGCTGGAACCATTCTCCTTGCTGCCTTTCATCCCTTCTGCCCCCACCCCCAGTGGCCCCTGTAATTGTGGTCTCAGGCGGTGGCTGTTACTGCTGCTCTGGGGGCTGGAGTTGGGACAGGGGCCAGAGCACAGGGCAGGGACAGAGGGTGGGGATATGATTGGGCTATGGAATGGGTTATATAACACAAGGGGTCCTGGGTCTTGGGATGCCCTCTCTGAGCCTCACTTCCTGTCTTTTAGAACCTGACTTCATATGGTTCTGGGGCACCCCAAACACCTCTGTTTAGATTCTACTCTTCCCTTCCTGGGGCTAAGGGTAAGGGAAAGGAGAAAAAAGAATCCCTAGGAGCCCAGGCTCTAGCAAGTGTGTGGGGAGGCGTTCAAGGTTGGATCTTGGGGATTGTACATCATTTTCTGTACTGAGTGGAACCTCAGAGGAGAAGTCTGACACCTCCCCCCCCCCTCACCCAGACCCACAAGGATTGTTGAAAGGGAGCAAAAAGGACACTTTCCTATCTCTAGGAGGGAAACAGAAACACAGAGGTTTCCCTGAGTTGCCCAAGGGGAGATCTGGTCTCAAAGAGTTTTGGCTTTGCCTCTAACAGCTGTTCAACCCTGGGCAAAAATCACTTCCCTTCCTGGGCTTCATTTTTCTCAGCTATATAATGAGCAGGGTGGTCTAGAGATCACTTGTAGCACTAAAAGTCTATGATTCTATAACAATAACTCACATTCATCTAACTACACTTTAAGATTTTCAAATTATCTTTTTCTTAACCCTGTGAAGTAGATATAACACCCCTCCATCCATTTTACAGATTAGGAAACTAAGACCCAAATAACTTCAATGTCTTTTCTAAGGCCACCCAGCTAATAAGTGAACTACGTTCCTATGTCTCCAGGACCAAACCACATTGCATTTGCCTGGATCAAAAGAAGCTTAATTGGGACAGTTTTTCCCTCTCATGGCTCTACTTCCTAGCTTGGAAATACACTTTTTGTTTGAATTCTGTTCTGCACTGCTCTGTCTTGCCCTATTCTGTCCTCTCTCTCTCTCTCTCTCTCTCTCTCTCTCTCTCTCTCTCTCTCTCTCTCTCTCTCTCTCTCTCTCTCACATTCCAGTCCCATGCTCAGCCTCTTAGGCCCAAGATGTCACTGTCCGGCTTGCCTGGAGAAGAGGTGAGTGAGGAGGGGTCTCTGCTGAGAGTTGGGTCAAGTTCTGACAACGCTTGCTGATGCAGACTGCTTCCAGCCCCCAGCTGTTTTCCTGCTGTCCAGGCAGACTTCTCCCTAACCACTGCCCTCCACCACTCTCCCCTCTACCCCCACCCTTTCCAGCAGCCTCAAGCCCTTAATTCCCGCCAGCTGCTGTGGCTGGAGGGACTGATGAGGTGGGGGAAGGGGAGGATGGAGGAAGCTTCCCTGCTCATGTTGCCCCTACCACCTGATGGTCTGGATACTGGAAGGTCCCTCCCAGTTTGTCCCTCCACCCTGCCCCCAACCAGTTCCCTAGGGAAGGGAGATTCCAGGAATGGGCCCCTTTTGTCTCTGAGCCCACAGACTCAAACAGTCCCTTCCCTCAGCTAAGAGGGGCTTCTCAGGGAGATGGTGATGTTGGGAGGGGTCAGGAAGGGATATGGAATGCGTATGATGGGTCATCCCCATTTAAGGAGGGGAGATTGAAGCACTATGAAAAATAGGACTCATCCTAGGCTCCACAATAAACTGGGGGTCAAGTTGGAAATAGAAGCCAGGTCTGCTGTCCTCCTTGTGAATTGGTTTCTTTCTTAGCCCTCTAACCTCTTAACCCTCTAACACATGTTCGTTATACTGGAGGGGCAGAGAGAAAGAGCTCACCGTTCCCTTTCCGGTTAGAGCTCCAGAAAGCCCCCTGGACACTTCAGCATTATCAGACTGCCTCCTTGTTGGAATAGCGAACCAACTGAAAATGGGGTTGGTCAACTAAGCAGGTCCCTCCCAAGGCTCCCTATCTGTGGTCTTAGACTCCACCACATACGCCACGATCGTCTTTCTTGATTAGGATTCTGGCTGGAGCGGGGATTGTACTCGAAGAAACTTCTGCTCGGACTTCTGCCCTTGCTGCAGGTGGCAGGGGGAGGCTGACCTCGGCAGTTGCATTTTCAAGGAGGACACACGCAGGCACATACACAACACACACTGACATCACACTCCCACGCAAAAACACAACTCCCGACATAACTCTAACTCACGTACTGACAGAGCCATAAATACAAACGTAGGCCTTTCGGCCCACAAACAAACGGAGAAACGCCAACACCCACCAAGTCTCTACACGTGCACTCACTCCAACCTACCACCAAAGCCTTAAGCTGACTCCGTGGCCTTCGGACACACACACGCCCCCCCCAACCCGCCCCCTGCTCCGCCCCCCTCCCCCAATCCCGGTCTGTGACGTCACCAGGAGGTAGAGCCGGAGCACTAAATGCTGAGGGTGGAGGGGGAGAGGAGGGGTGGACGGAGTAGGGGGAGCTGTGTGGGGGAATGGGGGGGGGAGGAGGCTGAGGCGGTTCAGCTCCTCTGGGCCAGGACAGTCACTTACACACTGGGCTTCGGGACAGAGGGACGGAGGGACAGAAGCGACGCCCCTTGGAGCTGAGAGCTCAGAACCCTTAGGAAGTTCAGCCTCACTGCTTCCAACCTCCAGCTCTTTGCCGGCTCCCTGCCCCTTGACTCTGCCACCCTAAGCTGTGCCTCGCGGCTTTCTCCTCCACCCCCCCCCCACACACACCTCAGGCTTCGCCAGGAGCCGCTGGAAAGGGAGGGGGTAAGGGGGAAATCCCCTCGTCCACCCTTGCCAGGAGGTGCCCCGCGCGCCCGCCCCCCCGGAGGGCGGTGCCCCGGGGCGCTGCCCCATGGAGCAGGGAGGCGGGCGGCGTCTGCCCCTGGAGCCCTGACCCGAGCTAGAGCCAGAGCTCAAGCCCAAGCCGGAGCCTCCAGAGGGTCAGAGCCACTGCCGGCCGCCGGGCGCTAGCTCTGCTCACCCGGTCTGCCTCCTCTGCCCCGGCGGACCATGCGCTGCCGCCCCCCGCCTGCGGAGCAGCGCGCCAGCCCTGCTGGGCTCTAAGCCCTTCACCCCGGCCCAGCCATGGGCAGCGCCCGGTCTCGCCCGCGGCTCCGGCCCCGACCCCGGGGCCGGCCTCGGCCGGCGCTCTGTGCGCTCCTGCTCCTGCTGCTCCTGTTGGCCGCAGCCGTGCCCAGGTGAGACCCCCGCCCCCTCTCACCCTATCTTCCTGCCTCCCTCCTCATGCCCCGCCTTCTGGGACACCAAGGATTCCCGAAGAGTTTTGGAGACCCTCAAGGCTCGGCTAGAAGACTGGCATTGCTAGGGAGTGAGCGATGTGCCCAGGCCAGGGGACAGTCATCTTGGACCCCAACTGGGGTGGGGGGTCGGAGGGGAGGAGCTGTCCTCCCTGGGGAGAGGGTAACACTCAGAGGGGACCAATCCCGTGATGCTCCAGAGGGGCAACGCCAAGAACAGGGATAGATCCTCCAGTGTTGGGGGCAGCTGCCAAATTCAGTCTCCCAATCATGCCTAGCTAACGTCTTCCTATTAGGGGGACTCTCAGGGAGGGCACCCCAAAACAATCCCGCCCTCCCCATTGTAAAGATCTCCCCCATGGGTGGGATCAGGTGATGGGGTGGGTGAAAAGGAGGCAGCCCCAGGTGGGGTCAGCAAGGGGGCACAGAAGGGAGTTCTCTCTTTTTGAGTGTGGCTTGGCTCCTTGAGTTTCTGAAAATAGATGTCTGTGAAAGTTTTTCTGAAAATATGTGAGTTCTATATTATTCATGCCTGAGAGGGTTCCCCTCTGTTTATGTCTACAACTGTGTGTGTGTGTGTGTGTGTGTGTGTGTGTGTGTGTGTGTGTATTAGATACTGATTTCAAATGTTGGATTCAGAATTCAGGAAGGGTGCTGATATTGGGGATAGCATTACCTCCCATGTAAATCTTTGTGTTTCTAGAGGTATGTGAGATATTGTGTTATCTGTACTCTATAGGTGTGACATTGTAAATTGTGTGAATCAGTGTGAATTGATGCGTATGTGTGTGAGGCTGGGTTTGTATGTATGCTGTATTTGGGAAGGTAGTTGAGAGAAGGAAGAAGTCAGGGAAGGAGCTCTGAAGGAGAGTAGGGGGGCATATTTGGGATTCTGCTGAAGCTTCATTCATTTTTTTAGAGCATCATTTCTTAAACACTGTGTGGAAAGTACTGTGCTAGCACTAGGCTTTCCTGGGAGAAAATTCAAAATTTGGAATAAGACATGCTCCCAACCTTCCCTGAGTTCTGTGGCATGACATCAACATAGATAACTGTAAAATACAATGTTACATGAGATGTGAAAACCAAAGTTCTATGTGAGGTAAGAGGTAAAAGGTTCTTATCATTTGGGAAGTAAGAGTAGAAAGTGGGGGAAAGAATGGAAGGAACTGAGAAGAGAGAGGAAATAGATTTTGTGTGCATGTGTGTGAGTATGTTTATATGTATGAGATAAGTAAGTCTAAGAAACAGTCCATGTCATTGCTCTCCAATTTCCCCAGCTCAGTCCAAGGCCTTACTTAATGGTCCCTACTTTTCCCCACATCCTCCATACCTGCAGGTCAGAACCAAATGACATTCTGGGCCTCCGACTGCCACCAGAGCCTGTGCTGAATGCCAACACAGTATGTCTGACATTGCCAGGGTTGAGCCGACGCCAACTGGAAGTGTGTGTGCGTCACCCGGATGTGGCAGCCTCCGCCATCCAGGGCATCCAGATTGCCATACATGAGTGCCAGCATCAGTTTCGGGACCAGCGCTGGAATTGCTCCAGCCTGGAGACCCGAAACAAGATCCCTTATGAAAGTCCCATCTTCAGCAGAGGTAAACTTATCCTTCCTCCTCTCCCCAGCCCCACTCTACAGCCTTTGCAGTTTCCATATCCTCTCATACTCCACACACCATCTACTCTTTAGCCTTTCCTTACTTCTGATTCCTAATGGTTCAGGTCTCCTGATCCCTGGGCCCTTACATTCTCTTTATTCTCTGTCTTTCAAAGCTTCTGCCTCCTAGTGGTTCCTATTTCCCTTCTGTTTTTCTCTCAAATCTTTCTTTTATTCCAGGCATTTTTGACCTTAGGAGGTGGGGTGGGGGAGGAGGTGGTCTGCTAACCATGTCACAAAGGAACAAAATATATAGAATGTCCAGGGTTCAAGAACCCAGGTATCCTGAATACCTATCCTGACCATACAGAGGGAATGAAGCCAACTTGGATTGCTTAAAATGGGTGTAGAGAGGGTAAGGCTCTGGAAACTTGGTTGCTATTCCCTCAGCCAACAAATCTCAGGCCTATGTGGCTCACACTTGCCATTTAGGATTAAGAAAGGAAGGAGGAGGTCTGTTCCAAAGGGGAGAGGATATAGAAGGTAGAATGAGGTAGGTGGGAACCTTGGCTTTTGGCTAGAGCCACAGAAGCCTGAAATTTGGTGATAATCTCCTATTCATGACTCAGAGTTTGATGAGAGGTGGGGTGAAGGCTTGAGCCCCTATATTTGGGCCACAAGGCCCATTCATCTAGCATTTTCCCACCCTAGTGTACAAATAACTTTCTTCCAAGTCACTTACTCTGAGAAATTCTCTGGATTCTCTGGAGGGGTTGGGAGAAATGAAGCTGATGACTGTCTTCTCTGCGCATCAAATCCACAGATTTTTCAGCGTTGAAAAACACATCTGTACTGAATAGCAGGACCCCTCTGACAGTGGATAGAACTCCAATAGGGGAAGTCAGAAACACAGAATTGAGAGCAGGAAGGGACCTGAGATCACCAGGCCAAATCCCCTCATTTTCTAGATCATTTTTCTAGCGAGGCCAGGAGAGCTTTCTGCTTCCAGGTCCACTGTCCTCCTTGCCAGAGGGGTTTCATGGTTTCCTTTTCACACTTGCCTCTTCCACACTTGATGTGGTTTAGGAATTGATTGATTTCTTTCAAGCTCATGTTTTATTGGCCTGGCCAGTTAAACTGGTCCCTCTTATCAGCTGAAGAGAGGACAGTATGCTGGTGTTAGGACAAGTTAGGCCTTTTTCCAACCAAACTTAGTTCAACAAGGGGTGCTTCCTAAGGTTGGGGTGAAAAACTACACTTTGGAAGTGTAGACTGGACTGGACCGAGATGGGCAGGCCAAGTGTAAGGTTCCCGGTCATTAGAAGGTACCCTGGGCGTGGATGGTCAGCCTAATGAGCCAGTTCCTTCTTGCCATTCTCATACCCATTTTTTTGACCCCTAGGATGGGAAGCAGCCCTAGCCTCCCCCAAGCCCAGCCCCGGGCCCCGCCTGCCTCCCTCCTCCTGCCCCGCCTCCCCCCCCGCCCGCCCGGGGCTGTGTTTCTGCCCGGCTGAGCCCAGCCCGACACGCGTGTGGCGGCATGTAGCCGCGATCTAATCCCCCCGGGGCCGATCCAGACGGCTCCCGCGCTCCAGACAAGCTGCTTTCAAAGGCTCCTTCCTCCCCCCCCATTCCCTCTCCCCACCCGCACCCAACTCGCGAGGAGTAAAGCCAGGGACCCCATAGGGCCAGTAGAGAGGAGGCTCACCGGGGCCCCTTATCCCCCTCAGTGCTTTTCCCTGTCTGGGCCGGCCCATCTTAGGGCCCAGCCTCCTCGCTGCCCCTCTGCCCCAACTTCTCTGACCCCCCCCCACTTCCCCGCCCTTTGCGGCCTCTGCTCGCCAACACGAAGTGACAGGTTCTTCAGACTTTTCATATCTTGGCGGCTTCCCGAACTCAGCTCCTCTCCCTCAATTCGCCTTGCCAGGCTTCTATTCCCACCCCCAATTTTCTAGGTTATCTTCTCTCTCAATCGGGCTCTGTATCTGTATCTCCCCCCCCCCCCCTTTTCCTTCTTGGGAGTCTTTGCTAGTCTTTGTCTCTGTGCACAAATTCTTCCTTCCCTTCTCTTCTGGATCTTGTTTCTTGTCCTGTCTTCTTGACCTCCTCTGTGTCTGTCTTCCTCTCTGTCTCTGTGTCTCTCTTTGTGTCTGTCTGTCTCTGTCTCTCTCTCTCTCTCTCCCTGTCTCTCTTTCTCTCACTTTCTCGCACGCTCTCACTCTCTCTCTTCCTTTGATATATTCCTTCCTACCCTCAATTCTAGGACCCTCCAGCTCTCTTCCGATTATATTGGTATACTGGGAGAAACTGATTTATCCCAAGCCACCTCCCAGGCTGGCTTGGGCTCTCTAGCTCCACCTTTCCCAATCCTTCTTGCTCTTCTGTTTGCCTCTCAGTGTCCACTCTGCTGAAGAGGCGGGGCCCAGTGTGTGTGGGGGGGCTGAGAGGAAGTGGAACAGTGTCTGGAGCCCAGAAGGGGGTGACTGTCTCTAGTCCAGTCTTAATCTGGTGGTGAGGGGGGGAGGAGGAGAAAGGGGGGGGGAGAAGGAAAGACAGAAAGAGAGAGAGAGAGAGAGAGGGGGGGGAGAGAGATGAACCCAGGCATCCTGCTTCACTTAGACCCAGCCCATATAGCCTCTTGAGGGCTGGAGCACAGGGGTCTGGAGAAAGCGGTGGCTTTGAAGCGTGGGGGCGAGTCCAGAGCTGCGGAGTCGGGCGGGGGTTGGCGCCATGCCAGATGCTGCCGAGTTCACCTGCAGTTTAATGAGCAGGAGGCAAGCTGGGGTGGTGTGGGGGGGAAGGTTGGGGGGGTACAAAACGTGCCGGGGCTGGCCAGAGAGGGGGGCCGCACCCAGAATCGAGGAGGGGGTTGGACAGCCAGCTGAGAAGCCAGGAGGAAGCTGTTCCCTTGGGTGCCCTTAGCCCCCAGTACCCGCCTACCCCAAAACATCTTGAATCTCCTGTCAAATTGAGACCCCTTTTGACTCACCTTAGACCAAGGGTATACTAGAAGAATTTAGGGAGAAGGAATTCTTGGGGTTCCAAGAAGGCTAAAAGGTCTTTGCTCTTTGTTCCTTCTCCTTTTGCTTTCCCTTTCCTGGGTCAGGTCACAGGCTCCCCTGAAGGCCACTCCTGGCCAAGCCAAACTGAAGCCTTCCTTGACATCTGGTGGTCAAGTCCAACATAAGGGGTTGTCTCTGCTACTTCTGAACAACTCATTTCCTGTGGGGAAGCTACCCATGGCCAAGTGTCTGGGAAGCTGAAACTTGAAGCCCAGAGAAATGACCCCAGAAGGTCATTCTTACTGTCTGTCTCCCTGGTCTGAATATCTTCTCTTTTCCTACTGTGACTTTGAATATTGCCTGAGTTCTTCAACTGTAAAGCTATGGGGTCAGCAACCCTGGGAAATGGAATGGTCAGTAGCTGATTCCCATAGCTTCTCCCCAAAACTCATTTGGATTCACAAATTCCTTTTTTTAATGTAAAATTTAAGGGCTATTAGCCACCCTCACCCCAGTAAGAATTACACTAACATTTGAAATCCACTTGATGGGGAAAGTCAATTTTAATGATACCAGAGACTAAGAGAGGTATTAATTCTGGTGCACCGATCACTTGGAGGAGGGCAGCCTGTCTACCATAGGGTAATGAAATGAGGGTTTGAAGTATCCAGCGAGCAGCTTGAGGGTGGGGAGAGGTCAGTAACTAGAAGAGGAACAAAGTAAAAGGAGACCTAGAAAGCCTCTTAGGAGTTTGACCATCATGGAACCTTAGATATCTAGTTAAAACTTTTAATTTTACAGATGAGAAAATAGAAGCAAATGATTTGTCCAAGGCACCACTAAAATTCACCTCTTATCAGTTCTTTGACAGTCTTGCTAACTTATGCTAGATGCTGGGCAGAACTTAATGTGGGATGGGGGTGGGGTGTGACTATCTAACTTGAAGATTCCCGTAGGCTACCTGGAATCGAGGAGGCAGAGCCAGGTGGAAGAGAAGAATGACAGAAAGCTATGAGGAGAGAGTCATCAGTCAGGGTTAGTCTATGGCCAGCATCAACAGGAAGGAGCAATGAAGGGAAGGTATAATGTATGAGAATCAGAGGATAAAAGGCTGTGAGGAAACACGCACAACATCGAAGGTCATAGGCCAGAGCTGGAACCATTCAGGAGGGTTTTGTCTTAGAAAGAGCACTGTGGTTGGAATTAAAATATGGCACTTACTTCATTTTGCAAATTATTTAAAGAAACCGAGTCCCAGTTTTCTGGTCTGTAAAATAAAAGTAATGTCATTTTTCTACTTGCGTAGCCTGGTGTGGTGACTAGAACATTGATAAAATGTTCTACACCAGGCTATGCCTAACAGGGAGACAAGGGTTATTGAGTGGTACCTCCGATACATCCTGGCTGTGTGACCCTGGGTACAGGCAACCTTCTAAAACTATCATTTGCAGTTCTGCTTTTAGGGTTCACTACACTAATGAAATCACAGAACCACTTACCTGTGCCACCTGTCTAAAATGGGTTGTAGACCTGGATATAAGTGGGTGGGGGCAATTCCCTCTTTGAAAACCCTTCCCCAGCTATAAATACTTACTTCTAGCAATCTCTCAATCCAATATATGTTACTTAAAGTGTCCCATAACTATTAAAGGGACCCCTTTGCTATTTGATTTCCAGCATAAGGCAGCATTTTATGTCTAGTCCACTCTATGTGGGAGGTCTTGCTTTGGCACAGGGATTACCCCCTTCCAAGTCCTAATCCCTTTCAGGTTGTAGGAAATGGGGCAAGGTGAGGAGCTGTAGGGAAAAGGAGGCAGGGGAAGGTGAAAAAAAATGACAGGCTTCTCCAAGAGGGTAGATCCTGAGGCCCCTCAATCTCAGGACAGGGGAAAAGAGAGGCCTAGGACTTCACAAAGATCTTGACTCTTTTCTCTCTTAGCATCTATCCTAAGAACTCTATTGGACCCCTCTGCTCTCTGTCAAGGCTGGGGGACCTTCT